ATGTCCAACTGCAGTTTAGGCCTGCTCCCTACTGGCAAGTGGACATCCCCCGAGGGCTGCTGGGCTGCCAGAGGGATGTCTGATTGCCATCTTAGGCCCAATACCCCCTGGGGAGCGGACCTAAGCCAGCAGGTGGTCATCCCCTGAGGGGTCCCAGACTGCAAGAGGGCACAGGCCGGGCTGAGTGACCCTCCCTCCCCAATTGCACAAATTTTTGTGCACAGGGCCTCTAGTTGTATTATATTCCATGTGAACAACCTAAACCTCATTTTGCCCCATCCTGCATAATATGAATAATATGTGAAGAACTTTAAACTCCCTAATATTATAATAATAAAGAAATGCTGCCAAAACCGGTTTGGCTCAGTGGATAGAGCATCGGCCTGCAGACTGAAAGGTCCCAGGTTCGATTCCAGTCAAGGGCATGTACCTGGGTTGCGGACACATCCCCAGTGAGGGGCATGCAGGAGGCAGCTGATCGATATTTCTCTCTCATCGATGTTTCTAACTTTCTATCTCTCCCCCTTCCTCTCTGTAAAAAATCAATAAAATATATTTTAAAAAAAAAAAGAAAGAAATGCTCACTCCTTCCCAAAATTTTCATAATTGAAAAAGCTGTCATATATCAAAGTTATCAGGGTTATGATAGGGTAAAATCTGAACGCTGTCCTCACTCTCTAAAAGTAAACAGTTAACACAAAATAGTAAAATCCAGTTCTCCTATTCACAAGCAGAAGTGGCTAGAAATGACAAAAAACATTACATATACAACTGAGAAGAGAAAATCTACATCAAATTTGGTTAAGTCTATAGAATAGACTTGGTACCTTGTTCCATCAAAGATGTTGATAAAGAGAACTTTATTATTCTTTTTTTGTTTAATTTTGTGCTTGAACATAATATTAACCCATGTTACTCAATAATCAAATTTCACACAATAAAACATCTCCTGATTAAGGTCAACTGCAATTTTCCCTGCTTCATATTTCTAATGAGTCATTTTCCAATAGCTAGTCAATAAAAAAATTATAGATCATAGAACCATAAATCAGCCAAGAAGCTAATAACACAGATTTTCTTACCACAGCTAACTTCCTAGAATAAATCAAACATCAAAAAGCAATTCCTTGTTTAAATAGAGACAAGTGCACAGTACTGGGCTAAAACAGATTATCCAATCTCTTGAAGTGACATAATTCCAATTTGTCCAGTAATAATTTTTTTCTCTTTTTATATACAGCATTGCACATGCTCCTGAGACCATTGAAATGAAATAAAGGACACTTACTCATGACTGGAAATGTCTCTGTATGTTGCCCCAATCAGATATTAAGCCAAAATCTGCTGTCCAAGATTTCTCGGAGGAATACATGTCCTAGTCAAAAAACAAAGAGAAATAAGTCATATTTTGTGAAAGTATTTAAAATTAAGTTTTCTAAATGGAGATGAAAATAATTTAGTTTAAAATTTTCTATGTCCAAAAGAACCTTTGGTGTCATCTATAATAACAAAAGCATAATATGCAAATTGACCAAAAGACCGAACAGCAGAACAAGAGTTGGAACGACCTCCCAATGGCGCCAGACACCCACTGGCGCCAGACCAGCCAAGGCAAGTGCAACGTGATTGGCTGATGGCCCAGCCATGACCCCATGATTGCCCTGCAGAGGGAGGACCAGGCCACCAGCCAGCAGGGCGATTGATCAGTTGGGGAGCTCCACAATCACCCAAAAGAGGGAGGCCCAGGCCACCAACCAGCAGGCTGTGGCGAGTGGGCAGGGCCTCCCTCTGCGGGGGCAATCCATCGGAGCAGCCCTGGCCAAGTGGTTAGGGCCTACCTCTTTGGGGCAATTGATGGCGGAGCTCCATGATCAATCACCCCAAAGAGGGAGGCCCTAGCTACCTGGTGGTGGGCAGGGCCTCCCTCTGTGGGGGTGATTGATTGTGGGGCTCCTGGACTGTGAGAGGGCACCGGCTGGGCTGAGGGACGCACCTCCCCCGCCGCCCCCCCGTGCCAAGTGCACCAATTTCATGCACCGGGCCTCTAATCTAAACATAAAAAAATGCCAATCTATCTTTAGAATATCATGATCCCATTCTATTTTTCTTTTTCTATAAGAAGTTACCTCAAATGTAAATAAAATGTATAAAGTAATTACCATACAGAAACTCAGTAAGGTGATCTTTGTCTTAATATTAAATAAGCACTCCAGCTAGGGTAAATACAGCACATCACACCTGCTAAATTTACGATGATTGCATACAAATTATTTATATACACGACCAAATAAAGCTTATCAAAGTTTTTGCTATAGATTTTCTCTATAAATGAGCATTTTCCTCACTATAAAAGTAATATGGTTTCACTGATTTAAAAAAGTTGAAAACAATACCAAAGTAGAAAAAATTATATCACAACACCACACTACTATATTTAGGGTATATTTGGGGTATATTTCTTTTCAAGGCATTTTTTGTAACTATTTCTTAAATATAATTTATAAACATTACATACAAAATTTTGTATTTTATTCTTTTCACTTGGGTATAACATAAAGCATCACTTTGTATTAGTATAAATATATTTAACCTTTTGCTAAAATTTACATTATAAATTTCCTTTCTGCCCGGCCAGTGCTGCTCAGTGGTTGAGCATTGACCTGTGAACCAGGAGGTCATAGTTCATGGCACATGCCTGGGTTTTTGGTCGATCCCCAGTAGGGGGCATGAGGGAGGCAGCCAATCAATGATTCTCATAATTAATGTTTCTAGTTCTCTCTCCCTCTCCTTTCCTCTCTGAAATCAATAAAAAATTTTTCACAAATTTCCTTTCTTGATTAATGTATCTTTAAATGAGGCATAAATTAATATTAATGCTTTATTTAAATATACCAATGGATGCATAAATACCTCCCCAAATCTAATATATGAAATTCCACAGATAAGATCAAATTAGATACAAAATGTACTAGTATACTTGTGCTACCTGATATGTAGCTTCCTTCAATCACAAGAAATGATGGTTACGTTATTTGCTAAATCAATTTAAAAAATGGAATACTAAGGACCTCTGCTTCTAAAACAGATAATAGATAAAGTTAGGATAACGGGTCCTAACAGATAAAGTTAGGATAACATTCTTTGAAGAAATAACGCTTGCCCCATATATACACTTTACTCATGTATGTAATATACATGGAAAGTATAAATTTACAAACTGACCATTCTCTATGAACAGTATGGCTCCACTACTGTAATTAACAGTGGCATACAATCATAGTGCTATCACATAATGACCTGACCCTCATCCCACATGCTTTCTTCTTTATCTATACTGTAGATACTATTAAATGATTTCATTTCCAGATAATCCAATTACCACAAAGGAAATGAGAAGTTATATGGAAAATCCGAAACTTATCTACATGTTAGTTTTAGAATACATTATGGAAGTTTCTCACCATCAATATTATTTATGAATGGTGTTTCACTGAGTCTATTAGATTTTTTTGCCCTCCCAGGAACTATAAGGTTGAACATGCTGAATGATGACTCGGGAAGGCAATCCCATGTTAAAAATACACAAAGTAAATGAAATGTTCACAGATGACCCAGGAGTTCGTTTACTTACACTTGTACAGTCTAATCTCCTTGCCCAGAGACTTTTCTTTTTATTCATGTTTGGATCAGATTTTTTCATCTTAAACTTAAAATACCAAAATGGCACCATCAAAGCACTTTGTACTAAGCAGTATGCCCCTTCTGTCAATCATAAGCTGCCAAATAAATAATTATTTCTGGATTGAAGTTCCTAAGATATCAAGAGTTGTTTCAGCACTGGCTGGTGTAGCTCAGTTGTTGGTGGGGCATCTCTATGTTTTTATTAATATTTTCATCTTTTAACATACGTAAATTCTTTGTAGAAGAAGGAAGACAAAATAATACTTTCTCATAATTTTTAACTTCATAATCAGTTTCTACTTGAGAAACCTCTAGCACTCTACTATGAATTTTTCAATTTTTATCATTCAAGATAAGAACATCTCCAACTAAAACTAAAGCTATCAGAAATATCAGTTTCCAAGACTTTTGTGCCCAAATGGTTTGTACACCCTCTTATTAGATGGCACCTAAAAATGCTTGATAAAATATGAGAATTAATCTTTTAAATGCACAGCAAAGCTCACAAGAAGCTCAAAGACAAAAATAAATAAATAGAAGCACAGAGAATCTAGGCAATGATGCCAGCAACTGCCCTTAGAGACATTTGACAATCTCTCATAACCAAGCTGCATTGTCCAATATTGTAGCCACTAGGCACATGTAGCTATTTAATTTTAAACTAATTAGTTGGGTAAAATTTTAAGTTCCGTTTCTTTCTCTAACTAGCCACATTCCAAATATGGCTATAACTGCTGTATTAGCACAGATATATAGTATTTCCAGTTACAGAAAATTCTATTGGACAATGCTGAAGGGCCTTCAGAATTAACAGTTTGCATAGGATAAAGCCAAACCTTTACACTATATAATATGGGAAGTCAGACTACAGATAAGCACATAATAAAGCCTGGCAACTAAAGGACTAGATCATCAATAAAAGTAATAAACTATGAAAAAATAAATACCCCAAAGGGATGCTATAAGGAAAGTTCTGCCAAGTCGAGGTTTATTCATGTTTAGGGAGGGGAAAGAGAGTATTCCCTGGAAATCTATAAACAAACCAACCTTCACAAGGGCTTCAAGTTCAAGTTCAAACTACTTGTACGTTGAGAAAATCTTAAGCCTAGAAATTAAGTGGCCCTGGGTTGACAGTGTCCTCAACTGCAAATTCCCCCTGGGAGAAAGTAGTATTAACTCAGGTCTCATAAGCATTTCCACAATTGAAGGCATAATAAAAAGTGAGCTCAAAATGTAAAACTATGCATAATAAGCAAAATTCAACAGAAATAAGTAGACTACTCAAAAAAACTTTTTAAAAAGAACAGCAATGCTTCCAAATACAATATAAAATGGAAACTATGAATAAAAAAGAAGGAAACAGATTTGAAGAATCGAATGAAAAAGAGAGACTGCCAAACCTGTCAGCTAGAATTAAGTGATCATAGTGGTACACCACTGAAATTTAGCAGTTGTTTGTTACACAGCAAAAAATGGCTAATGCAGAGGATAAATGTTAATTTTAAATACAAGTTAATTTGTGAGTTTTAATTTTACTAAAATATTTTACTCACTAAATTTGTGAATATATACATACACATACATAATACCATTTATATAGTTCCAAACTACATAAACTTAGCAATATGTTCTTTAGAGACATATGCCTATCCTACCTAATAATAGACAAACATGGTAATTAAACGTACCTCCGACATGCTTCCCATTGGCTGATATGCAAATTAACTGCCAACCAAGATGGCGGCCGGCAGCCAAGCAGCTGAAGCGAACAGGAGGCTTGCTTGCTCCAGTGATGGAGGAAGCCAAGGTTCCCCGC